TGCTTCAACAACTAGTGGCCGTGCAAACCATCACTCTTGGCAGGGTGCGTGCACTTAGATACCCGGGTGGGCGTGGCCACAGGGGCAAGGCTTCGAAATGGACCGGTGTTTCCCAAATTTGTGCCGCAATAGATATTAGACGGGAGCACCGTTTACAAGGTAAACGTTCCTATTGTCTTCAAGGTGTGCTTAATGTTGATTTCATGATCATACGTAAGACCTGATAACCACTTTTTCGCCTCTGCCTAATGTATACCTTTGCAAAAAGCATAAATTCCAATCTAAGTTAATTCTTCCTCTCGGAACTTCTTAGTTCAAGCAGTAGAAACACACAGCTGTTTAATAAGAAGGAAATTATCGTCTCCAAGCTCAGGAAGAAGCGCTGAAGCCTAATTATATCCGTCCACGTCAAGCCCTCGCCCTATTTTGGCCACGCCCACAGGAAATAGAGTAGTTGCCGATGTTGCCTGTCAAGAAAACGGAACAGCATCTAGCCGTGCAATTCCACATCTTCGCCGCAATCGCACCATACACACTTTTCCCGTCTGCAGCTCTTGTCGTTGAGCTGTGTTAGGAGATGTACTGTTTAATGTTGAAAATTCTGTTGAAATGTTAAGAACCCTCAATTTTGGCAAGATGCTGCTATCTCTGAGACTCATTCAGTATAGCCCTTCTCCTGCTTGGTTGCCAAGTAGACGAGTAATCATTGGAATTAGTGACTGGAAGGTTTAATCTCGAATTCTTTTTTTTCTCTGTCCTTTTGCTTTGGGTTGCTGTTCATATGTTGAAGCTGCTCCCTTCTGCACTCATGTCTTTATAAATATTTCTCGACAATACAGCGTCGCCTATATGGTGCTTTCCAGGATGTCGAATGCAGTCCCAGACCCGGATGATGTTATGGAGGCAGATTACCAGAACCATGTTAGTTCTCTTCAAACCTTATGCATTTATTGGTGCTGAGGTAGTTGGGGGACCCCTCTCGCCAGCGCCTCCGTATCCCTTCTTCCAATCGAAGTTCATGCTTAGTGAAGGCTATCTCTCCTCTGCGGGACTGTGCCTCTCGCTCTGGCCGTCTGCGCCCCTTAAGAGGCCTAACTTTTCTTAGAAAGGATCACGTGAACGTGGTCGAGTGGTCCCCTACATTCACCTCTTTATTAGATACGGATACGCAGACGAAGATGATGAGAATCTCAAGTTTGTATCCATTTTGGTCCAAAATTATCATTTAGGACAATTGTATTTGTTCACGTGTAATTGTAATTGTTCACGTAACGATTTAGGTAGCTGATGAGCCCCTGGATGACTTCGATATCGATGTGGGAAACGCAAATTTAGAAGAAGAGTTGCAGGTACATTGCGTCTTGCTGACTGCGATATAAAGGCAGCGTTCAGAGTTCGCGGTGACGCTCGTCGTCGCACTGTAAGGCGTGGCGAACCGCTACGATTGTAATAGCATTCCAAAGTTATAGGACGCGAACACGCAGCATCCTATTCTGCCACTCTCTCGAGCACAAGCGGAGCTGGTCGCTTGTGTTCCGAGAGAGTATTGTGGAATACGATGGCACGGTTGCTCGTCATGCAGAAGTATGGCTCGGCATATGCGGCTGGTACGCGTCGACGTTACAGCACGTGGTCGCGAAGTCTGAACGTAACCTAAGATTTAAGTGGAGTTTTTCTAGATTGACAAGAGTTTCCAAAACCGAGAAGGCACCCCTGTTCCTGAAGGTCTACTCGCTGCCATTCGCCAACCCATATCGAAGCTTCCATCCAATTCGTCCACATCTGTCACAATGGCACTTTCATTGGAAAATGAGGCTTTAATTTTCAATAGACGCAAAATGGTCATAAAAACCTTCAGAACAATTTATATATGACGAATTGAATAGGAACTATTCAAGTTTAGGCCGAATTCGTTTTTCAAAAGAACCCGCGCGATTTGGAAGGAAGCTCGAAGAAAGAAAGTTAAATGGGAACTGATTAAATTGGCCAGTCGCAATCTCCCGAATCATGGATTTCCGTAGTTGCAAAGTATAAACAATCCCATAGCATTTACAAGGCTAATGCACCATTCTCATAGGAAAAACTCCCATACGATTCCTGTTATTCGAAGGGCACGTTCATTTTACGCGACATAGGAAAAAAGAAAACTGGTTACAGTGAAGTAGTGGGGATAAAATGGATAGACAGTGGTGATTAACTTTCAGCCGAATCTACAAATATTAGCATTGAAAGGAAACGAAACCTGTATGATGTGCTTGAATTGGCTGCAATATTCCCGCATTCCACGACTATAAAGGTGGAGAGCTTCGGTTATATCACCAGCGGTAATGTAGTAATTGAAAAGTTCGTCCATCGCGCGACGTGTAGACTCCTGCAAAAGTATTCAATCTACGCGAGTCAAAACAGAATTTGAAAAGTGTCAGTTTACAGAAAGCTTGCGAAAAAAACTGTTCGAGTCTCTCTGGGTCCACAGAAAAAAGGAACATCCCTCGCTG